CCCCCATTTGTAATAAATACAGTACACCTCATCTTGTAGCTATTCATTTAAACATACCTAGATAAATTAGATTGTGTATTGTCTGTAAATATAAATGAGTTTATCCTGAACTATGCAAAACTTGTAATGCCACATATTGTGATCAGCTTAACTAAGATGATATATATCTGGGCAAATCCTGTGAATATGTATATCAACTTAATATGTAAAATATTATTGTAAATACACATCAGTTGGAATTGACTCTGCATTGATTAGCAAGAGAGTACTTTGTTCCTTGTTTTAACGGATGAGTGGACAAGATCGTGAAAAACTGAACCAAATTGAAAAAAAATAGGCTTGTCTATACTCCCTACTTTAATAAGTGACTGGAATCCTCTTTTTAACCCTATACAGGATGGGGGGTCTGAATCTATGCATAACATGAAGGGGGGGGCATGCCCCCCCCCCATAGAAAAAGGCCAATTTTTCATGGCTAGCTCAAATAGTTTGGGTGCTAGGTAGGGTGGAAAAAATACCTAAAAAAGGGTTAAACAAATTTAAAAAAAATATTTTTTTTGTTTTTACCAAATATCAAAGTATTACACATGTTTCTACATGCATTTTTCAAAGGCTTTTAGATCTGTAGCTTTAGTCACAAAAAAGTTATAGGCTATCTTAGTTTTTTAACAAAAATCCTTTAAATTACTTTTCATTAAAAAAGTCACACAATTTGACGGTGATAGTGTCAAAATTAAAAATGCCATGACAAAAAACTACAGAGGGGGTGCCAAACACCCCCCCCCCCGCCTATTTAGGGTTAAACAGGGGAATTTATTGAGGACCCCAATTCTATGTTTAAGTGGAAAAAGTTTATGCAGCTGTATTTAGACTTTGAGAACCCATAAACCTTTGTTCTCTCTCTCTGTTCCTACTCTCTGTTATCAACTGGTACATCAATATTCAACATTATGCGTAACAAATGTTTTAAATTTTAAATTTAAGAATTTTAATTAATATCTGATGATCATGAAATGTTTTAAATATCAAATTAGAATTCAAAATTATACACTGGGATCAAGAAGTTTTTAGTTTTCCACCTGTTAATAACATTTAAGCTGGGGCGTATCTAGGGGGTTATTGGGGTTAAGTACCCCCCCCCTTAGAATCCTGGGGGTAAATACCACTCCTGGTGTTGATTACCCCCTCCCCCTGGAATCCTTGAGGTTCCATGGAATAGCAGGGATTATTCACAATACTCACATACTGCCAATACAACTCCCCAATTGCCCCCCCCCCTCCCCCCGGCACTGTCACCATGACATTTTTTCGTTGGGCAGGGAAATTATAACACTAATAATATAACCACAATAAGGACTAAAAATATAACTGACAAAAATATAGCTTTTTTTGACCATAACATATAGTTTTTGACCAAAATATTTTTTCTATATAACTTTTTAAGACAAAAAACTAGTTTTTTGACAAAAAATATAACTTTTCCTTTTTGACCTAAAATATAATTATTTTTAAAAAAATATAACCAATTTTTAACCAAAACCGAAAATATAACCACATTTGGGTCAAAAATATAACCATACTTGACCTAAATAGGCTTTATATGTCTTGCCACTGTATGCAAAGACTTTACATGTTTACTTATTGCATCCTGTGCAAATGTAAGTTTTTTCATACTCTTTTAGGTATATACCTTTAACAAATGCCTTACTCCAGTAGTACTCTGTACCAGTCCAGGTACAACTTTCTGTATTCTGAAGTATGTGATTAAACAGTATTCATATTCTTTTTTTAAAGAGATATTTTTGTCCCCAGAGCCGGCGATTTAAAAAATTCAATAAAATACGACTCGGGTCTAAGCTGTTGTTGAGCCTTATTTACGGCTCGGGCTTTCGGATTTAAGTTGCATTTAATTTTTAACAGAGTTTAGTTATTTGACGGATTTTCATAGTTAGAATTGGTGCATTCCGAGTTTTGATGAGAATAAGACCCAACATTGAGCCTTATTCTCCACTAAAACCAACCAAGGTCAGTTTTATTTTCATTAGGCCTAACTCCTTAAGTCGAGCCTAAGATCTCGCAGCTGTCAATCACATGACACAAGCTGTCGTCAGAGTTGGGTCAAAGATTGGGTCTTAAAGTCGGGTTTAAGGAATTACGGCTCGAGCCCAAGCTTTTAAATCGCGGGCTCAGGACATGATCGGGTTGTTACGATCAAATCTCGGAATTTTTTCTATTGCGTAAGTTTGGTGTTGTCTAGGTTTTTATATTGATCTACCATGGGTTGTAATCTGGTAGCACATTAGTCCATCCACGCTTCATTCTGAGAAGAGGGTTGACAAGATATCAGCTGCCTAAGATGCTTCTTAGGCCTGAGAATATAGAGTGCAGAAATCCTTTTGATACACTGGAATGAGGCTGGGTGCCATACTGATAGGAAACATCACACTCATTGCTCCCTAACATCTGTAAGCCCGGATTGGATACCCCCAGGTACCTATAGCTGGCAACCATAGAATCTCCCTGCTTGTCCACCATTCCTCTCTTCATCATCATTCACTTGGATCAATTCCACTTGAAGCTTCTTTCTTGTTGAGTTGAAAGCACGCACCCTTATGCTGCGCGAGTTGTTGACAGCTGCTCCTCTGTCCTCCTACATCCGTCAGGTGGTCATAACTGCTTAACCAGATGTCAGCTTCAGATGTTTTTTAAACCACAGGTTTGTGTGGAGTACGGGAATCAAACCTGTGACACCAATCCAGTTACTGGCTGTGGGCAAGTGTGATTAACTTCAGTGATCTAATGAGAACTGGTGTCACACACTCTCCACCCCACCCCACAACCATCATATTCAACCATCTATATTTTGTACAGATAAAGATTAAAACTGGCCATTAATGTGGTGAGGTGCTAATTGTAGAAAATATAGAGGCCCATAGTAGATTATGTTGTACATTGTCCATATATTAGCCCAATCAAATACATAGATATAACCCCCCCCAGCGTGTCCTGGTTTTCAAGTACCCCAGCGGGGATAGGGTTAAGACCCCATTCTATTCTAAACAAAGAAATAAAGCTTAGTTGATATAGAGACTCTGCTTTGATGACAAGGTTGAGAGTAATTTGGTTTTGTTGAAACATACAAATCAAGATTGTTGCCTTAAGATTTGACTTGATCAATTAATTGCTAGTGTCCATGTTGACATTGATAGCTAACAAAATCACACCCAGTGGTAGTGGTGATGATAATTCAAAGGATTTTAGCCGTATGGATTGTGTCCTAGTTGAGGCATTGATCAATAAATGGCTAGTGTCCCTGTTCACATTGATAGCTAATAAGATTGCACGCAGTGGTAGTGGCCTTGATAGTTCACAGGATTGTAGCCATGTGTAGGAATGGGCACATTTTTTGAAATGGTTCTGTTCTAGAACGAGGGCCTTCAGCTAGATCGATCTTTTCTTCGTCACTTTTTTTCCTATCATTTTGTGTTTGTTCCATTTTGTCCTGTTCCGTTCTGTTCTGTTCTCAGAATGATCATCCTTTTCCAATTTCTTAGTCAAAGAACAGTTCCATCCCCCTGTTTTGTTCTTAGTCAAAAATGTTTCAATGACCTTTTTTAGCCCTTTGTCAAGAAGATAGGACTAGGGGGTGGGGCAGGGGGGGCGTACTTTAGAGGTGTCGAAGACAAAAGTTTTGTAGAAAAGAAGTTGTTAAAAAAGTAAAAATGACGATTTTTTAATAAAAAGTTCCTCACAGCCAAAAATATGCTTTAAACTTTATGTTTAAAATTTAAGGGTTAACTCCAAAAATGGGTTGGTGGGGACGTTTGGCACCCCCTCCTGTAGTTTTTTTTTGTCCTAGCACTCTCTTTTTTGACACTGTAACCATAAAATTTGTTGACTTTTAAAGAACTAGCCTTAGATTGTGAACATGTTCTCTTTCTGTACATCGTAAAACAAAACAAAAATAATTCGCGGATTTTCACAAAAAATTTTGCGAATTTTCAAAATTTTCAAAAATTTAATGACGATCGAATTTTGATGGAGACAAATATTTGAAATTTTGATCATTCATAAACCTTCCCTGTGGAAAAATTTGGGCCTGATCGGTTCAGCCGTTTTGACCTTTATTGAATACAAACAAACAAACAGACAAGCCAAATTTATATATAGATAGTGAGTTGAAGGACTTTTTGAAAAAAATATTTTTTTTAGTTTATAGGGTAGGGTACAGTGCGGAAAAAAGTTCGATCTGTGAAAAAAATCTAAAATAGCCCATAACGTTTTTTTGACTGAAGCTACAGATCTAAAAACAATAATTTTGAAAAGCCTTTGAAAAATGCATGTAGAAACATGTATCACACTTTGATATTTGTTTAAAAAAACAAAATATTTTTTTCCTCTTTTTGACCCTTTTTAGGCATTTTTTCCCACCCTCCCTAGCACCCAAACTATTAAAATCATAAGTCTAATTTTTTTCTTTGAGCTGGCCATAAAAATTTGGGATTTAATTATGAATTTCAACCCTGTACCTATTCTAAAAGGCCTTTTTCTAAGGGGGGGGTGCCAAACGCCCCCCCCCTTCAGTTTATACATAGATTCAGACTGCCCCAATCTTTAGAGGGTTAAAAAGATAAGCTTAAATAAATTCTGGGCCAAGCAATGTATATTTTTTGTGAAGCTGGAGGAGGGGCAGGGGTCATAAAATTGTGTAATAAGATGCATTCAAGTGCTGAGAATATTTTTAAATTAATTTTAATAATCAATATTTCTAAAATAATAAAAAGATATTAAAATAAATTATTTAAAACAATTTCTTCCAACCTAAATCTCCCCTTCCTCACAGGAGAGGGAGGCTCGGGAAAGGGGGCAGGTTTAGAGTGGGGTGTGTGAATCTTTTAATTGTTTCTAGATGATTTAGAACACATCCCTGGTCTAAAATACAGTTCTGACTTAGAACGCGATCTTAATAATAAGAATGGTTTCATGATTTTAAATGTTCTTTTAAGCTAATATCTGTTCCTTTTCAATACTTTTAAGAATGCGTTCTTTGAATTCTGTTGTTTTTGTAACAATTGGATTGTTCTTAATGGTTCTGTTTGTTCTTGTGAAAGAACGAATGCAAGAGTAAGACTCTATGCCTTTGTCCAAGGATATGTTAAACACCTCTAGGGGCTATGATGTACAGTTTAATGAAGAAGAGAACTCCGTTATTGTATAGTATAGTCGGTCAACCCGAGCAGACGTGTGTGTGTGAGCTCCAGATGACTGGTTAACTGGGAATTCTACCCTTTAGACAATATGTCAAACCTGTCACTCTTAACCGTTAATACAAACATAAAAAATGGCGAATCTTCTTCTTTCCCTAGTTACACTTTTAAAGTACTGTGCTCCATCAATTAATAGTGAAGATTTATCAGTGCTTGATTCATCACTAAAATGTAAACTGTCACCTCTTAACCATCATATTACAAGATGTACCGATCCAGCAGATTTAGCAACATTAGGAGACCAGCTTCCCATTCTGCTTACAGAATTCCTGGAAGAAAACAAAGGACTGTTTGCTGATGAGAAAAAACAGCATTCAAAAGGTTTTATCTCCCATCCTAATAAGACCCTCACAGAACTTCAACATCTTAAAAAAGTTTTGAGAAAGAAAGCCTTTTCCAGAGCCGGCACTGATGAGGACAGGAAAAAGTTCCATTCCTGTCTGAAAGCAATTAGTGAGCTTAAAAAAGTTGAAAAAAGAAGACTCCTTCTCAAAACTACCACACACCAAGAAAAAATGTTTCACAAAAACCGTTGGGAATTTTCTAAACAAGCTGTCAAGGGATCATTACTGCAGGAGAAATTGAAACCAACCTTTGGCCTAGGATTTGCAAACACCTACTACTCAGAAAAATACAGCACACCCAGAGATGAATATAAAGTCTGGATCTACAAACATTATTTCATTCCTTCTATTCGATTTCTGCTCACTGTTCATACAATATCACAGAGTCATCTGAAGAAATTAGACACATTCACTGATAAATTTGTAAAAAAATGGACTTGATTACCTCCCTGTGCAACAAATGCTGCTCTACACTTGAAACCTGGCCTAGACATCACTTCAATATCCACCCTGTACAAAACAACTATGACGCAAGCATATTTAATACCTATATTCACGACCCAGGCAGAAACATCAGGGTAAGATTTAATGTATTTTACCATTTCCTTTTAAGAACTAAATTGATAGTATTTCAAACTAAACAATATTGAAAAGATTTGTTGAATAAACCCAAGGATTCTTGATTTTGGAAGCAGTATTGATTCACAAGAATTTTGAAAACTGATAATTTTTATTTGTGGTTTCTCTACCAAAGTGACTCATGCATTTCTTTTAAAGGGGGGCACAATGTTGCCAATGGGGGACAAAAAAAATGTTTCCCCCCCCTTCACGAATGCTCTTGTACTCTGTTTTAAATTTATCTTTTTTATTATGTTATAGGGTTGGAGAGGAAAAGTAAGATCCTCTGACAAACCAGAAGTTGCATATCCTATATATATTCCTATTGATATCTTATCCAGCTTCAAAGAGTTTAGAAAAATTCTCTACGAACAAGGCACTTTGAATATTTATAGATTTTAATTAACTTTTATAATAATAATAAAATGTATGGAATTTACGAAAGCTTTTTTTGTTAATTCTCTGGTTATCGTAAAAGTCGATTTTTAGATTTTTTTGTTATTATTAAAGTATCTTTTCTGTGTTTGACCCTGTGCATTGATATTTAGTGCACAGAGGGAAAGAATGAAATGCAAGGAAAGTTAATTGCAGTTGCGAATAATCTGCGTACATATTGAAACCAGTTCTCTCTGGGCGGAATTTGTAAACAAGACTAGATGCTTGTTTAGTATCTGAATAGGTTAAAAGCATTAAATTTTGATAATTCACATAATAGTTTCCTATGACCACCGCCCAGTGACAGTACACTGCAGTACAAAAGATGCGTACACCTCTGAAGTAACTTTCCTTGCATTATAACCTTGACAGAGGGGAGAAAGGCTGGGGGGGGGGGTTCATTTTTTTGTTAATTCTTTGGTTATCGTAAAAGTCGATTTTTAGATTTTTTTGTTATTATTAAAGTATCTTTTTTGTGTTTGACCCTGTGCATTGATATTTAGTGCACAGAGGGCAAGAATGTAATGCAAGGAAAGTTAATTGCAGTTGCGTATAATCTGCGTACATATTGAAACCAGTTCTCTCTGGGTGGAATTTGTAAACAAGACAATGCTTGTTTAGTATCTGAGTAGGTTAAAAGCATTACATTTTGATAATTCACATAATAGTTTCCTATGACCACCGCCCAGTGACAGTACACTGCAGTACAAAAGATGCGTACACCTCTCAATTAACTTTCCTTGCATTATAACCTTGACAGAGGGGAGAAAGGCTGTGGGGGGGGGGTTCTGCACTTTGTGTACTACACTCTTGTACTTAAATTTCCACAAATATAGATACAGGGTTACCCACAAAGGATGAGACTTAAGATACCATGTACGTTAATATTCATTGCACATTGGATTAGGTGTCATATTTACAGTTTCATCCATTTTGGTTAACCCTATATCAACCTTTTGTTGTAATTAAAAAACACTTTTTACATAAATTTTTTATTTGACAATTTCTTTAAATTTTAAAAATCATTGTGAATTTAGTTCCTGATGCTGTATTGTTTCTTGGAATGCCAGATTCCTCTAAACAATGGAATATGTTTATCGAGGAGTATTTGACGAAACTTGTCAGTTCTAATCCCCCTGTTCCCAGAGGAAAACCATCAATGCATGTTGGAATAAACTTAGACGCTGCTGTAGAGGAGGCTGAGAAGCTTGGGAAATCGTATTTTAACCCTAAGCTAATTGAGATTGTTTTTAAAGATGGAACACTTGACTCAAAGGGGAAACTTAAGAAAACTCCAATACTATCTCTTATCTCAGATAGAAAAACGGAAATTCTCTCTCCTATAGTGACCCCAGATACAAACATCAACACATTCTTGAAAGAGCTGAACAACTTGGATATGAGTGAGAATATGAGAACTCGAGCTGTTTTTGTGGTTCTTTTCTCTACCTATCTGTTTTTCTACTCTATTATGAAGTGGCAAAACGATAGTGTGCCAGGCCTTTTGATAACATCAAAACATCCAGAGGTATTTTTTTTATGTAATATTTACACATGTGCTAAAATACTGGTTTAATATAACATATTTTATTCAACGTTTTCAAATTTGTTGAATAACTATTTGGCATCGATATCAAATTATCTTTTTTACAGGCACAGAAAACTACAATATGCAAGTTTGCAATCAAACTTACCAGCAATCCAAAGACGAATGTATCCAATCTCTGTGGAACTAATGAAGGAATTTCTGAAGTTACAACTAGATCAAGGTGAGTGCTAAACTTGTCCCTCCCCCCTAACTCTAAAATATTGAACTTTTCGCCTTAATTAAATCAATTTATATTTATAAATATGATTTTTCAGCTTCCCCATATACAGAGATGACGAGGAGTCAAAAAGAAAACATCAACCTCATCCCACAATCAAATAGGATTTATTTGTACGCTGACTGAAAAATTTTTGCGAAAAGAGGATGGTGGATCAGAATTTTTTTATTACTTAAAAGAATCTGCTGATGTTGTTGCTAAGTATATGCCAACATGGACATCTAAAAGAAAGTGCAAGGCATATGCAGTATTTGGGGCTATGTCAAGACTTATATTTAAAGAAGCTGAGAAGAATCTTGAAGCAATGGAGCTTTTCACACAAATCTTTGGGGATATTGATACCTTTGATACAATAATACGAGATGAAGTATTGGTTAAAGTAAATGAACTAGAAATTGAACTGGAGAAAAATGTTAAAAAAAGGCAAAATGTCTGTCCTAGATTTATTTCCTGCTGAAGAGGAAATCGATGAAGATTCTACAACTGATGTGACATTGGATGATGTTACCATGACTGCTGATTCTATATCTGAAGGTGCTAACTTTACAGAGCTTGTGAATATGTTAGATAATTTGAATGAGCTTGAATTATCCAAAGTCATGGGGTTTAGTATCTGGAGGGGCTATTCTTCTGTACAGCTGCATGTCGTTAGGATTTTTGACATGTACAATATAAACCTTCCTGGGATATGGAATTTTGCGATTATTCAAATGCCTGACCTCAAATCAGAAGATAGAAAAAGCACAAGATCATGCCAAAGAGTAAAGAAAATTCCAATTGAAAGTTTTCAAGGAGAAGTACTATGCAAAGTCTTGAAGTTTGTCATTGATGTTCTCAAGTATAAAGTTCCAAATGCTTTGATGGAAACTTATTTAGAACTTTGCATGGATTTTCCACCAAATCCAGTCATTGAATCTGAACCAGCATTGCAAAACAGTTCAAATACCACCCAGCCAGAGCTGCAAGCAAGTCAACCAGAATTATCAGCAAGTGTTATCCAACCAGAATTACCAGATAATTCTATTTTTAGTCAACCTGTTCCATGTAATGATCAAGTTTCCAATGAACAACCAGCTGAACCTGATACAAGTTTGCACTTAAACTTGTCAGTAACGATAGGTTCTATTGATCTAAGTTTTAATTGTAAAATATGTTCATCAGCATATGAATATATGTTTGACCTCATCCAGCATCATAAAACTGAACATCCAGAACATCCTGACCCAATGCAGATAATTAATTACTTGGAAGATGAAACAAGGTAAATTTAATTTTCTAAAACTCAATATGCAAGTTTATTTAATTTTCCAATTAAAATCACACTAATAATTAAATATTTTAGCCGAATTCCTGTTGCTGGACCTTCTGGTTGTACTTCAACAAGTATTTCATGTAGCTCTGATTCTGAAATTGATGTTCCAGATTTACCCCCAAAAACGAATACTAAGAAGACGAAAACTGTATTGAACCCGTATCTTAGATACCTTGGAAAACGAAGAGAAGAAGAACGACGTAAAACCCCAACTGCAACAGGAAAAGAGATAGTTTCAAAGATTGCGTGAGTATAGATTCAATAATTTTTCAACATTTTTTTGTCTCAAACTAAAATTTATAATTTCTCTATATTTATATTTATCTAAAATAATTGAAAGATATTCGGGGTATACAACATTAGGTTGCAAAGATTTAGGGATTTCAAAAGTAAAATTTATTTTAATCTTTTTTAGTAAAGAATACAATATGCAGCAAAATCTGATAGTTCTCATCCCATGAACCGGCTGTATATTACTTGTCTCAGAGAGGCCAAAGAGGAAATGGATAGGAATTCAGCTTTAAGAAAGAAAATCACTCCAAGACCAAGAGTTCCCAAGCCTGGGACCCAAACAGAAGTTGACACTTCATTTGGCACACAGGAACTCCTCAATATTGTAAACAGAAAGAAAAGGAAATTATGAAGAAGCCCCTGTATGTACTTTATTGAGTCAAAATAACTTTTATTTAGTCAATTTATGATTTATGTCTTACCTTTTCATACTAGCGACCAAGACCAGTTTATCCCAAACTATTAATCAAATATGATTTCAGCATTAAAGATGGCAAGAAATAACCCTCATCTCAGATTTGATGCAGATGAGCTTATGAAAAAGGTTAAAATTTATTTTTTTGAAATCTAGATATTTATTATCTCCGTATCGAGATTATATTAATTGTACAAAATTGTTCACATGTATTTAATACAACTATTTTACGAAACTATCGTGTACATATATTCTTAAATTAAATAATAAAAAATCATACGGATGCATTTTATGTTTTTTATTTTAATTAGAAATTTGAGTTTAGGGATCCTTGGATCCTGCAAAACATACAAATTGAAGAGTGCAACAATGAAAATGTAGAGAATAAACTGCATATAATTAGTCGGTGACGAAGATTTTTTAAGAATCGTCTGCATATAAATTGAGCATTTAATGAGGAAAATCAGCTTGAGCAAGCATTATAAAGTTCTAATGCAACAATGGTATAATGTCAATGTATGCAATATGGAAGAAACTACGATTGTACTGACGAAGAACATTGAAAGTTCGACGTAAGTATGGCATTACATTAGTTAAACTATGTCGTCTTGATGCTAATTAGCCGACGTAATTATGCTTAAGAACTAGACTCACGTAGAACATTGGTTCTGCGCTACTGTCTAGGACATTGAAAAGAGATTAGTGCTTAACCTCTTCATTTCTCTCAAATCATCAAGGTATAGCAAGGTATGGTGCACGTTTATATTGTGCAAGGATTTAGAGATATCGATGTAGCGTAGTTATCTCCTCTTCTTGAGACATCATGATTTCTCGGCGGTGAGGTTTGACGGTTCAGGAGGCGTTACAGTTTCCACAGACTGAATCAGTAAAAAAAGATCATTAGTTCATTGTGAGAGAAGATTCAGGGTATGAAGAAAGATTCAGAGTTTAAATCGGAGTCCTCATAATTTTAAGGATGAATAATATCGATAGAGATTTATTTATTCAGACATTTTAATTATAGAGACTCGGTCTTACTGCGGGTTTTTATTTCTATATTCTTTAATTAACCTTACGGACATAAAAAATCTATTTTTTATACAAATTGGCATTTCTTGCTTGCAAAAGCAAAGTTTTATATCCGAAATATTAAATTAAAGGGTAAAGGAAGAAAAGAAAATCTTAAAACTTAGACAACTGACATTGCATGCTCGACGTTTAAATTTTGTTAGAAATGAATTCCAATAGCGTTTACATTAATTTTCGTGCAATATGGTTTTAACCTTAACATTGGCATTTAGTTCTTGCTTGCAGTAGCACAGTTTTATGTCCGAGATATTAAATTAAAGGGTAAAGGGTGAAAAGAAAATCTTTAAACTTAGACAACTGACATTGCATGCTCAACGTTTAAATTTTGTTAGAAGTGAATTCCAATAGCGTGTACATTAGTTTTCGTGCAATAGGGTTTCAACCTTAACAATCCAAAATGATCCGTGTTCACGCTCCTGCTCTCTGTATAAAAAAGGTTAAAAATTCATTGGTAATGAAGAAAATCTGCCAGTCTACTCGGAGACTTATGGAAATATATTTTTTTACCGTTATTATGTACTGAGTGATGAAGCTGTAGGATCCGCTAGGTCCTCTGAGGTTCTCCGCTCATTCGTCCTCCAGGTTTCAGTTTAACTAGGTAAAGAGAGAACCATGACGAAAGGAAAAAATTCGAGTCTGTCGGGGTTTTAATTAAGCATGTTGATAGATTTTATCTTTAATCTTTAAACTTAGACAAATGTCATAGCAAACTTTGAATTGAAATTTTAATTGGATAATTTTAAATAGCATGTACATTAGTTCTGGTTCAAAAGGGGTTCGACCTTTATAATCCAAAATGATCCTTGTGCACGTCCCTGCTCTCTGTATAAAAAGGATTAAAAATTCGCCTATAATGCAGGAAATCTGCCAGTCTTCCAGGGAACTTATGGAAATATATTTTTTTACCGTTATTTTCCGCTGAGAGGTGAAGCTATGGGATCCGCCAGATCCTCTGAGTTTCGCCGCTCATTTATCCTCCAGGTATCAGTTTAACTAGGTATAGAAAACAAATTGTGAAGAAGGAAGAGAAAGTTCATATATTTCCCTTTGATATTAAGGCTCTTGGGATTTAAAATATAATATGTTGATAAAGTTTTAATTCCAGAATGAGAATCATTGGAGTTCCAGACTTGGGATTTAAGCCGTATAAACAGGCACTCAAACAAAGTATTTAAATTGCAAATAATTAATATTACATAACTTCAAGCCTTACTGTCAGAGGCGTGATATTTAAATTGCATATACTTGATGTTGCATAATTTCAAGTCTTAATTTCAGATATGTGATTTCCCAGATTAAACTTTTAAAAGTCAGAGATTAATTAAATAAGACTGTTACGGAGTAGGTAGATTACATTCGAATCAGTAGGGTTAACCTTTGCAGTCAATTGTGGTCCATGTACACGCCCTGGGCCTCTGTATAAAATAGATTTAAAATCTAGTAATATAGAAAGAAATCTGCCAGTCTTCCCCGGGGCTTATGGAAATCTATTTTTACCGTTATTTTTTCCGTTGAGAAGTGCAGCTCTGAGATCCGTCAGCTCTGAGATCCGAGATCCGCTAGCTTCCAGGTTTCGGTTTCAACTAAGTAGAAAGAAGAACCTTTAATGATGTCACCAATATCTCCAATTAGGTCGTTATAATCCTCATTTCAAGATATAAGGCAAAAAGAAGGATCAGTAGAATTTGAATTATATGAATAAACTGCTTAGAATTTTCTATTTATCTCAATGAAATCTTTAGATCTTGGGTTATAACCATCAAATATTTAAATTTATTCTATTTGTCACTAAAGTCTTTAGGTTTGAAATTATGACAGTACTTTTTTAACTCCAGAATCTTGATATTAAAAATTTCAACTATAGAATTTTGACATCGACAACTTTAAGTTTTATTTCAAAGTATATGAGCATTTTCTTCAAAAAATAATAATTATAAATAATTAACTACTTGTTTTAAGTACTAGACAGACTTTTTAACCCGGTCTATTTCTGAGGAAAGTTATAAGGATGATGCATGCAAAAAATAAATCTGAATAATTTATTAAGATGTATGATGTATTCTAAATATTGGAAAAAAAAGAAGAATTTTTTTCAGAGAGATTTCGGACGAAGGCTGAAGGAAGACGGTGTATATATTCCACAAAGTGAATATTGATGGAAGATAATAAAATTGAAGAAATTCCATAGCCGTACAGTATATATGATCTTACCGGTTTGTAGTTTTTTGGTTTGCTTCAATAGGTAGTTCATGAAATCACACAAATTAGTGCTTATGCAATATCTGGTTGATCTTGCCAGTAGCAGTTTTTTTTATTTTTTTTATGTTTAAAAAGTTTTCTTGTATTGAGAGAAGGCTTGGTTGTTCACAAATGTTTAAATGCTATTTTTAGATAATTTTTTTTTTCGGAAACAGGTTATGCATAGGACTTGTAGGTGATCAGATTTTAGGCAATTTTGGGAATTTTGGAAATTTTGGATTGGAAAAGAAGGAGTAAAAGCGGATTCGACACCTCATATGTAGGGAAAAGACACACAACTGAATTTTTTAAAGAGACCCCATCCCCACTCTGTTAATTCTATACGCATGGTATACAATATGGGTATCGATTCCCATTAAATCACATGTTTTAAGCTTGTTTCTGGCATTCATAACACTCTCCGACCTTTACTATCCTCACCACCCTCCTTCTGAAGGGTGCACATTTCGTCGTCAAAAAAAAGGCATTTTATACATACAGGCCCGCCCGACCACCCCCGCCTCTACTTGCGCCTCTGGTTCGCCATGCATGAGCCAGTCTGCTTTAAGTCAATTATCATTATAATTATCATTATAACAATATTCTGCAACCTTTATCTGCAAAAATAAAATGTGAATGAGACGATATTTTTTCTTTTACTTATTATTATGACAAAATAAATTTTCAACCAAGCCAAAATGTTAACTTTGAAATTGTATTAACTTTTTTTATTTTATTTTATTATCTTTCACTTTAACTGTTCTACTGAAGGTGGATTTACTTCGTTGTCACAGCATAGGAATATTTAGAATAAGTGTCCTTAAAACCTAGTATCTAATATATATATATATATAATTTGCGTGTTTGTCTGTTTGTTTGTTTGTATCCAATAAGCGTCAAAACGGCTAATCCGATCTGGCCTAAATTCTGGCCCAGAACAAAATTCGATATTCATTAAATTTTTGAAAATTTTGAAATCAACGATTTTTTTATGAAATCCGCGATTTTCTTTGCTTTGTTTTATAATGTACACAATCAAAATAGAAGAAGGGCGCAAAGCGCACTGAAAGCCTAGCATAATATATACTTTGCTTGTCTGTTTGTTTATATCCAATAAACGTCAAAACAGCTGAACCGATCAGGCACAAATTTTGTGTGGGACTTAATATGGCCCCAGGGAAGGTTTATGAATGATTAAATTTTCGAAAATTAGCCTGCAACAAAATTCCATTTACATTAAATTTTTAAAATCCACAAAATTTTTTTTCTAAATCCCCAAACTTTTTAGTTTGTTTTTCTATTACAATATATACAAAGAGAAAATGTTCACAATTGAAATAGAAGATAGGTTGAAGCGCCCTAAAAGCCTTGCTTGAAAGTCTAACGTTTTAAAAGTTAATTGTGATTTGATTGCATATCGTAACTTAAGGATTTCTATTTCAAAGTTTAAGTTATAAAAAGTATAACATCGTATGAATGAAAAGAAAATTTCTGTTTATGAAAACGTTTTGAAACGTTTTGAACCGTTTTCCCTAATTGTATTGTGAAAAGTTCAACGTTTCAGAAATGGATTATTACGTAAATAATTAGAAAACGAAAGTTTTTTATACAGAGTATAAATTTCAATAATGTAACGTATAAGATTTTTAAAAATGTAATTCTGTAAATCAAAAGTTCAATACCTATTCTCTGAATACTAACTTAATTAGTCTAATGTTTGATATAGATGTCTGATGAAAATATTGTTCATAAAACATAAGGTTATGAGGGCTGAGTTTTAATTTCAAAAGTGTAACAATAATTCTGCTGCAATCAAATCGTTTCAAAATGATTAGAGATGACTGATGATTATGAAAGCCAAAATTAATAATGGTTTTTCATTTCAAGTTTAAAAGAAAGGAGTTTTTTACACAAACTCTAATTTTCAATTACTATATCTTTGCAACCCAATGTCTAGATCTATGATATATAAAAGTTTAAACCATCAGGTTGTATATTTGACAAAAACTTGGTTCCTTTTTAAAGTGTAAACAAGTTTTTTTGCAACATGCTGTTTCTGGGACACTTAAGTTTTTTGATTTAACTGTTCAATGGAACCCACTAAAACTCTGGAAAGGGAAGACGATATTTAAAAATTCCACATATTCATTTTCTGTTATAAAGCAAATGATTTACTACTAGCAAAAATAAACTGAAAGTGAAACAGGTCTGTGTACACTACACAATTGCTGTGTTTCATGATCATTTGACTCTTTGAAATCATAAATTCAGTTGGCAAGATTTATGTTTTATATCATTTCCAACAAATTATAATTTTCTGATCTCTATATCTTTCCAAGACTTTTCATATTTTAAACCATGACTTCTGTTAGATAAAAAAGTCTATAAAGGAATTGAGTTGTTTTCACAAACATATATTTCTAATCCCTATATCTTTGCAACCTAATGTTGTAGACCTTACATATTTCTAACATAGAATTCTGTTAGGTAGAAAAAATCGATCCACAGAAGGTCAGTTCGCATTGAGTAAAACTAGAACAAATTGACCCTAAATTAACGTAAAACAGTACAGTACTACTGTACCACATTTAAAAGTAGTTTGCCTTTGCCGAAATTTAACCCATTAAGTGCCCAAAACATATTTCTGACACCTCCAAAAGAAACTTTTGACAGGTTATTTGGGGTTTTTATCAAAATAAGTCTATTATAATATTCAATAAGATAAATAATTTTAAAATTGATAAAATAAAAAGTTTATTCCAATTCAACAGCAGACTCCTTCATCAGAAAGATCATTAACAGCAGACTCCTTCATCAGAGAGTTCACAGCAGTATGTCTCTGCTCTCTCAGTGAGAACTGAAGCCAGAACTTGCATGGCAGGAGGCATTAGAGAAGCAATTCCATCAACACACTCTGCTAACTCGGTATGCTTTCCACAGAAGGCCTCACCCTGCGGTACAATTAATTAATTAATTATTTGTATAAAGATAACGAAGCTAGTGCAATCGTTAGATAGATAAAGGTTTCTTTCTTTCTTTAAAGCATAATTTTGTAAAAAATAATTTTCAATCGAAAATGGGCAGTTTATTGTATGCTTGGATTTTTAAAATCCTGCAAGGGTTTTAGAATCACTGCCTCAAAATATAGTTTCCTATCAATCTTGCTGGAAAAAAATATACTGATAAATCAGTAGAATGGGAATAAAAACTGACTTGAAGGAATGCGACGATCTCTGCAATTTTAGCTTCAGACTCAATGACACCGGCAACAGCAGTGATACTACCAGCACATTCATCACAGGTTGGTGCTTTCACAACACTCTTCTGTACACATGCTCCAAGAAGTCCACAGACACTGTTGGCCTCAAGGAAGACAGGGTACATGGCCAAAGCTAAACAAAATAATATTTTTTTTGACCAATCATTTTTAACAGAATATATTAAAATTTCTTTAAATTGAAAGTTATTTAATAAAAAATAATTTAAATTAAGTTATTATTATCTATTCATGGAGGGTTTAAAGTGGAATTTACCCTGCACGTAAAGTCAAGATTAAGATGATAGTTTTATACAGATGATTACTCACACATAGAAAAACAATAACTTTGAAATAAAGTCAGGACAAAAAAGTTGTAAGAAAGGAAATTAAAGTGGTCCTCTGTTAGCCGGGACAGTAACATGTGTTTAAGAAATTAAATAAGATGAGAAAGAAGAGATTTACCAATCTCACTCCAGTACATTCTCACAGCTCCCTCGCATCCCGCAGGATCAGTAGACTCCGGGCAGATAGAAGCAACCAGGATCTCAATCTGCTCCTCAATACTTCCAGAACTCTGGAGGTAATCTCCTAGTTTGCCTTCACAATATAATGGTTTAGCATTCAGCTGACTATATTTGTTACACTATTGTTTTGGTTCGCAGTGCTTTGAAGTTTTTGGACAGAAATTTTCTCTTTTTCGAGAACCTTCGAGATACAGAGAAAATTTAAGTCCAACAACTTTATAGTATGTCATGCTGAATAATAGTGTTATAGGTTATTTTATGAAACCTTTGTGTACTTGTTTCATTGCAATGGCTATTTCTAGATAAAATAAGCTTTTTAAGATTGCAGAAATAAAAATTCAAAGTTAGCTTTAATCTTATTTTCATATAGGAGAAAATCCGGGAACCAATCAAAACTTTATAGTACACGGGCACGTGCTATAATGTACAGCTAATTTACCTTTATAGCACCATGATTACTTTATAGCACGTTCATAATGAAATTCACCGTGAAGTGAGTAAGAATTATAAAGTACAAAATAGTTTCATAAAATGTATTGTAAGACTGCAATTAAATATTCTTCAGAAAAATTGTTTGACAATTAAGTACTTGTAACTTTTGATTACGGGCGGAGACAGGGAACTTAAGAATCAAGTTGGGAAAGGAATTGAGTTATTCCACACATTCGGATTTGCTAATCCCTATATCTTTGAAAAAAGTAGATCTTAGATATTTCAAACTATGAATTATTTCAAATGAAATAATCCAAGTTTCCGATATCAAAAGTAAACACCATCAGATTACAAAGATATAAGGGTTAGAAAATTTTAGTTTGTAGGTAAAACACTCAATATGTTTCCTAAATCTGTACTGTCTAACTCTTTTCTGGTACAGCCCACGGGATATTTGATGCGGCAAAAGAAAATTTAGTAAATTTGATTGATTAAACGATCCATAATTTTAAGAAATATGTATGTTGGAAAAATGAAAGGGTTGGAACTGGAAGTATTAATGAAGTATAGCTGAACAAACATAGATTGGTAAGTCGTCGTTTCATAAGGTTAGTTAGTCAGAGGGAAAATATTGACACAACGGATGTTTAATACCTGCGAAGGAAAGACAGTCTTCACAAGTGAATTCAGCACTAAAATTAAACAATGTTTTAATCAAAAGAAATTGACTTTTAAAAAAGCTTGATTTCCAAATCCTTTTATCTTTGCAGCCTGATCATTTGATCTTTGCTCTAACAAAGGAACTGAGTCTTTGCCACTAACTCTGATTTTCTATTCCATATATCTTGGCAACCTGATGTCGTAGGCCTTTAATATTTCCAACTATAATTTTTGTTAGATCAAATAGTCAAAGTTTAAAATATCAAAGTTTTACACCCTATGGTTGTGAAGAAATATGGATTAGAAAATTTAAGTTTTGCGGCTAAGACTCAATTCCTTTCATAGCTTGAAATATCTAAGGTTTACGATATTGGGTTGGATAGAAATTGGGATAAGTAAAAAAAACAAAGTTTGTGGCAAAGATTCAATTCCTTTACATGAATTAAAAACTACTAAGATAAATGCTTTATAAAGTATAAAGTAAGTTTATCCTTTTTAAATTTTAAGTAAATTTTGAGACAAAAAAGTAATGCAGAAGGAGAAAAATCATTGACTTTAAAAATATTTGAATTATTCTGGTTTGAAACTTAAGCATGCTGTATATTCTGAGTGCTTTACAGTTCTTATATCAATGAAATTATCATTTTTTTTAAATTTTTAAATTAAGAAAAAATAATACCTGGCAGAAGATGCAAGGCAGGCAAGGGCAACAAGGATTAACATCTTCATGTTGAGAATTCTTCTGTTTCTTGTGAAGGATGAGAATAGAATTAGATTAGAGTAGAACGGGTTGACTTAAATACCGCCATGTTATCTATCAATAATTAAGCAAGGTAAGGCAACTGTATGCATAAAACTGCACAAAGTCAATAAATAAAGCATAAATTTGTATGTACATAGGTAGGGTAATTAACTTAATTTACACTAAAGTCAAATATATAGGGTCTTCAAGGTTTTTAGACTTGATCTAAAAATAAGTATATTCTGTTGTTAGATGATGGTATAGTAACAGATTGACGTTGAGTTGAAAATATATAAAGAAAATCAAGTTTTCAAATCTCGCCTGAATCCACAATGTAATCCTGAGCATTTTTCTTAACACACAACAAAATTTACAATTGTATATTTTGTCTTTTACTACAAATAACATCAAATAAAACCTAGTTTAAGCTGGAGAAGTAAACACTTGATTAACTGTTAAATTCTCAGATTGAGTATGATACAAACAGAGTTTAGAAGTTAAATTCAAGATTTTGAAAAAAAAAAAATTTCACGTTATGGGTCTTTGTATCTTATTCAATTATGCAAATTTGTATAATTTAAGGACCTGAGTTTTTGCCACAAACCCAAATTTTCTGATCCCTATAACTCTGCAACCGGATGGTGTAAACCTTTGATATCTCAAAATTGGATTATTTGATCTAAAATAATTCATAGTTTGGAATATTTGAAAATATACAGTGATTAGAAAATCAGAGTTTGTGAAAAGACTCAAGTCTTTTTCTTGCGTGTAAAGAAAAAGCTCATGATTTATTTAGTTAAAGTTAAAAAAAAACATTGATGATATATTAACTTTCTTATAAATTTTGTGTAAAAATGGTGCTTTCAGGATTAAAACTGAGACAGAAGAAAATAATATTATATATATTAATGCAATTACGTCAAATACATGTTTTAATAGAAGGGGTCATATTGTTGGAACATGAATAGCTGGCATAATTATGTTGAATTCACAAAAAACATTTTTCTATACCATCATTCATGAAAAGACAAAAAAAAATTTTTGCTGAACATTGTTAGGACAATGTTGATTTCTATGTTTGCAAAAAATGTATCATGCTTATTACTAAACAAATAGCGAAGGTCTTTTGATAAAAGTTGAAATATTCGCCTAGAAACAGTTTGCATTGTTTAGTTGTTTCCAAAATTATTCCTAATCATTATTATAAATTTATTTCGTACAAAAAAGTAAAATGGTACAATATGATAAGACAAAAACAAGAATGAAGTATTATATATAAATATAGTTTCTAGTCGGAACATAAAAAGTTGATCAATGTTCTATGAATTCAGGAGTTTTTAAACGTCCCTACTGTATAAATCCCAGAGATTTGAGCCATAGATTTCACAAGTATCTGTATATATCATACAATTTTAACACTGTGGATGTATTAGCATAATGAAATTCTTGATTAAGATAATGTATTTTAGAAGCAGGTTCACAGCTAATATCTTTTGTCATAGAACCATTAGACTGCAGTGTAATGCCAAGATGTTTAATAGTGTGAGTGTAAAAGTATCGGGCAAATATTATCAGTATTCATGACAGGGTTACTGAAAACTATACATTTTGTTCTTAATTTGGAAACATCTACATTTGTGCTAAATTTTAACTGATGAAGACTAGCAAATTTTTCACAAACATTAGTCATTAACTGTAGTCCAGATCGATTCGGAGATAATAATATAATATCATCCGCATAAACCCAGATTCCTAGGTATACGCAATTATAGTTGACAACCAACTTTCAGATTAATATTCTCTTATTCTTTCCGTGCCAATTTTCAAACCAATCATATTTCAGCTTTTTGCTTTGTTCATGTTTTTTACCAGTTGAAAGTTTAAATAGTTGTTTTCTATGATTTAAAAACAAAAATTGTCTTTCATTTTACACATGCATAAGGACCAGAAAACTGAACTAGGAAATTAACTAATATACTTAAGTTATAATTAAAAATAATCAAAATGAAGATCAGGGGCGGAAACAGGATTTAAGTGAGGGGGGGGCAAGATTTTTTAGGAACAAAAAATCGCGCCGAATGCGAAATTTTTTTTTGGCTTAAAAGACTCAAAAAGAGTCGAAATT